ATTTATTTAGTAAACATAGCACATATCTATTTAAAGATCTCCACACAGGCAGAACTTTTATGGGTCATTGCAGTGCCTGATGAAATGAGAGAGAGTGTGTGTGTGTGTGTGTGGTGTGTGTGTGTGTGTGTGTACACACAGTATATAAAAGAGAGAAAGGCACCAGGATCCATATAAACACGTGGGCGGGGGCTATGTGGATGCCAACGGGGGTGGCCCTGCCCACTTTTGATCATGGCCCTACCCACTACTACTATGTAACAAATATTCACACATGTTCTCCTTCCTGAGGGAAAAAAAGTGATTTTAAGCAAGAGGGAGTTGCAGGAAAAATGTATTTTGCAGAAGGCTAGGTGGTACCTTGGAGTACAGGATCCCTCTAGTTATATTTTGCATGCAAAACAGATTTCTTTTCCCTAAAGAAATCATTTCATGTGTTTTTTTTACTACAAAAGCCACAAAATGCAATGCAATGCAATAAAAGGCACACAAAGTTTCCCAATCTTGCACAGAAAAGACAAAGACCTTTTTGAAAATCTCTGTCCTGTTGCCCTGAGAGAATGAGCCCTATGATGATTTAAATCCCTATAAGCACAACACTGTGGTGTCAGCTTGGTTCTCAGTGGCTCCTTAGAAGTTCTATGGGACAATTATGCTAGGATTAAACTTGTGAAACTGTGTCAAAAGAGAGTAAATCTCACTTTCACCTAGTGAAGTTATTTCATCTTCCATTCGAATCAATGGGTGCCACCAATTCTTAGTGGAAACTGAAATATACTTGTTGCTAACACTGTTGCAGAACCAACGAGAACATTCTAAGCGTTTTACTTACAAAATAGGATCGGGCAGAGATACCGAATGCCATGTGGTGCAATCCTTGCATCCAAATAGCATATACACCTCAAGTGAACTTATGGTATTTGACCCACCTCCTTTAGTAAAAAGAAAAGAAAACCTGCCTTGCTCCCTCCTGCTTCTGGGAATACGTTTTCTATCTTAATTTAAAAAAAACAACAACAGTATAGCACATTAGTGCTATCCCAATAAAGGTTTTTTTTAAAAAAAATACCTTTGATTTCCTTAATTTTCCAATACTCTGAAATGGTTAAGCTGTGTTCTTAAACCACTTAACAATATTGGGGAATTGAAAGTGGAAAGAGAATTTAAAGCTGCAATCTCCATTTTGATTACTTTCCAGCAATAAAGAGATGCTGGAAAGGAACCAATACAGATCAGTCCTACTTGAACATGAATGCACGCACACTTGCACACCATTAAACTGAAAGGGACCCAGAAAGGTGTGGGTACGGAAACTCTATGGACAGGCTGGTTTGCTCTAGCAATTACATCATGGTACAAATCTGAGCAGCTTTGTAAGAATACATCTAGATCCCGATCTGTAGAGGCTAATGACACTATTCACACCCTGCCTTAACATGCTAGCTTTCCACAGGTGAGGAACTTTGGATCTGTGAGACTTTCAAATTCATGTTTCTCCCATCCACAATCTGAATTTGTACAGACTGTTGATGGATCTTCTACATGCACGGGCTTTACCAATCCTGTTGTAAATTTCAAGATATGGGCGGAAGGGCCTCCATCACAGACTAACTTATTTGCTTGCATGCTAACTAATCAGAGGGGCTTGTTTTTGCCGGGCTAGAGAAACTCTGCCCCTGTTTCTTCCCTTCTCCTCCTCACCTGTTTTGAGAGATTCCGTTTTATCTCAGACCCTTTCTTCACCTTGGAAGGTGCTAGATCTCCAGGCTGGATCTCTGCATCCTAGAGATCCTCCCAACGTGGGCTGAGGAAACAAACTTTTTTTTTTTTTTTTTACTATTTTCCTTTCTATCAACTTTAAGCCTAATGAGTTCCTGTTTCAGAAGTGGACTTTGAGTGAGTAAAGTACACAAAACCTTTCATACTTAAAGATCACCTCCTGAGTCTTATTTCCTAAAGTGCTAGGCTTTAGTGAGGGTTAGATACCAAGAACAATTGGGTAAAGAAAGGGACTTCTACAGCTAATGCTAATGTTAAAGAGCTGGCCTTCCGCTGTGCATTTCACTGGAACTTAAGCAAGTCACCAGAACTCTCAACATATGCAATGTTGTCACTGTGAGGAGGCATTAAGGATCCTTCAGGATATGAGTGGCAATATTGTCATTTATTTTTAAATGTAAACATTATTTTAAAACAATAACAAAACATTGTTTTTAATTTCTGAAATAAAAAAAGATTCCATCCATGCATGCATACGTTAGCACATGTACTGATAAATAATGCATATGTTCTACACAGACATTTTCCGAGCTTTTAGAAGAGTCATAGTTTCATGGCAGAGTGCGCACCTTGCATGCCAGATTAAGCATCTCCACTTTAAAATAAGCTTTCGATACAGTAGGTCCAGAGTTGAGAACTGCATCATTAAAAAGTAGCATGCTAACATTATCCGTGACTTTGGGTTTTCTGAGTTATTCATCATGTGTTACTTTAAAGACGACACATCAGTAATGCATTACTGACATGTTGCTTTAATAATCAATCATATATTTCAACAGTGGAAATTGTGGCCAACCAAACTAGCAATGTTTTAAGGTTAAAAGGTAAACTTTGTTACGTGGGGAAAGTATTTTTTATTTCATAAAAATATGGTTATCTCTTCTGTAAAAATATTAATAATTTTAGCATTACAGGTTACCAGACAACCAGAGCAATCCAACTTGGCATCCTCCAGGTACACTGGACTACAACGCCTACAATCCATCAATCAATAATCCATCATGTCTGGTGGATACTAGGTTGGAGGAAGCTGTCATGCAAGTTTCATTAGTATTAAGCCTCACTGAGTTCAATGGAACATACTCTCAAGAAACTATGCTATGGGATCACAACCTTAATCTCCATAGTATTATTTGGCTTAAAAGATAATCATACTCATTTAGATGAACTGTACTTCTTTCACTCCTTGGAAAAGTTTTGCATATGTACATTTTAAAGAGACCTTCTACAAACACACTGCAGGGCACTGTTGTTATATGCTATCAACTTGTTTCTAATGCAAGGTAGCCCTATAAAGTAAGGACCGCCAAAAGATCCTAACACTAGCTGTCCTCTTACAAGACTGTGGCTTCCATGGTGGAGTCAATCTCTCTCATGTTCAGTCTTCCTCTTTTCTTATGGCCTTCAACTTTTCCCAGTACAGTATTATCTTCTCCTGTGAGCACTGTCATAAGGTACACAAGGTACAGCAATAGCTCACACTACTTAATAGGGTAGAAGAAGAAGAAGAAGAAGAAGAAGAAGAAGAAGAAGAAGAAGAAGAAGAAGAAAAGCATTCCCTAGAATCTTCTGCATTAAAGAAGGCATACCTTTTGGGCAAAGGTGCTGGTCATCTTAAACAGGTACCATAGGATTGGGGAGCATCAATCCCTGGGGCTGAATGTGGCCCTCCTTGGGCATCAATCCAAGTTTCTGAGGCTCCCCAGAGAGTTACACCCTCTTCCCCATAAAACCATCAGCTTTTGCATGGGTCTCCCTGGAACCCACCCCTTCTCCCCTGAACTTCTCTAGCACCGAATTTAGCAGCTCTTTGCTCGATTTGGTATATATAATTCTTGAAACTGTACAACTGCCAAGAATTTTAGGCTGGGAGGTTACAATTCCATGGGTATCACCAGCGTTAAAACCCCACTGAATGGAATTCAATATACTGTAAATTCAAAGGGCTGGGTTGCCCGTTCACATAGCCCAGAGAAACGGCAAAAGCGGCGTTTTGGGCGAACGGCGCCCGGCGCCCTTCCCACCCTGGGAGCTGTTGCCCCAAGAAGCGACTTGCGAGGCGAGGCACGGCGGGCAAGGGCGCCTCCCAAGGCACAGCTCCTGTCCCCCCGCCATCAGCCAGGCTTACTCCCGAGGAGGCAGCCCTCGGAGGGGGGCCCGCTCAGGCTCCTCAGCAAAGAGGAGGGGCTTGCTCGCTCCGACAAGAGGCCAGAGGCAGGAACGCCGGCCCGGAGAAGCGGCGGACCTCCTGGCGGGTCCCCCGACTCGAGGGGAGAGGAGTGTGTGTGTGTGGGGGGGAAGGAACAGTCTAAAGCCAAGGAAGTGATAAAGACGGTGGGACCCGTCGGGGCGCAGGGCGGGCTTCCCCGGTGTGCCCGGGCATCTCCACCCCAGGGGGAGGCGCGCCCTCGCGGAGCTGGAGCGCGCGAGCGAGGGGTCTTCCCACCTCACCCCCGGCCGAGGGGCTCCGGCCGGGGCGCCTCCCTGCCCGCGGAGGAAAGACCGGGCGGCTTCGGGGAGCGGCGGTGGGGAAAGGAAAGGGCGGGACGGGACGGAGCGCGCCGCCTCCCTCCAGGCGAGCGCGGGCAGCCTTTTTTGCGCGCCTCTCCCCTTGCCGTCTGCGGCTGCCTCGGTTACTGCCGCTGCTGCTGCGGCGGCAGCGGCGGCTTCAGCCGG